TCCCCCCCGTTCCGCCCCTCCCCCCAGGTGTACTACGCCAAAAAGAAGCGCCGGGCGCAGCAGGGCCCCCCCGAGGACGCCGGCACCAAGAAGGAGCGACGCCTCTGCAACGAGGGCTACGACGACGACAACCACGACTACATCGTGCGCAGCGGCGAGCGCTGGCTGGACCGCTACGAGATCGACTCCCTCATCGGCAAGGGCTCCTTCGGCCAGGTGGGGGGCTCGGGGGGGTCCCTCGGGGTCCCCACACTGTCACCGGGGTGTCCCCACTGCACCCCCAGTCCTCCATCTCCCTCCAGGTTCATCCCTGGGGTCCCACCTGCCATCCCTGGGGTCCTCACAGCATTTCTGGGGTCCCCCCTGCCACTTCTGGGGTCACCCAGGTCCCTTCTGCGTCCCCACTGTGTCACCGGGGTGTCCCTGCTGTACCCCCAGTTCTCCATCTCCCTCCGGGTTCATTCCTGGGGTCCCCACAGCATTCCTGGGGTCCCCCAGATCATCTCTGCGTCCCCGCCCTGTCACTGGGGTGTCCCTGCTGCACCCCCAGTTCTCCATCTCCCTCCGGGTTCATTCCTGGGGTCCCCACAGCATTCCTGGGGTCCCCCAGATCATCTCTGCGTCCCCGCCCTGTCACTGGGGTGTCCCTGCTGCACCCCCAGTTCTCCATCTCCCTCCGGGTTCATTCCTGGGGTCCCCACAGCATTCCTGGGGTCCCCCAGATCATCTCTGCGTCCCCGCCCTGTCACTGGGGTGTCCCTGCTGCACCCCCAGTTCTCCATCTCCCTCCGGGTTCATTCCTGGGGTCCCCACAGCATTCCTGGGGTCCCCCAGATCATCTCTGCGTCCCCGCCCTGTCACTGGGGTGTCCCTGCTGCACCCCCAGTTCTCCATCTCCCTCCGGGTTCATTCCTGGGGTCCCCACAGCATTCCTGGGGTCCCCCAGATCATCTCTGCGTCCCCGCCCTGTCACTGGGGTGTCCCTGCTGCACCCCCAGTTCTCCATCTCCCTCCGGGTTCATTCCTGGGGTCCCCACAGCATTCCTGGGGTCCCCCAGATCATCTCTGCGTCCCCACCCTGTCACTGGGGTGTCCCTGCTGCACCCCCAGTTCTCCATCTCCCTCCAGGTTCATCCCTGGGGTCCCCACAGCATTTTTGGGGTCCCCCAGGTCACCTCGGGGTCCCTACGCTGTCACCAGGGTGTCCCCGCTGCACCCGCAGTGCTGCATCTCTTTCCAGATTCATCCCTGGGGTCCCCCCTGCCACTCCTGGGGTCCCCCCACTGTCACCAGGGTGTCCACACTGCACCCCCATGCTCCATCTCTCTCCAGGTTCTTTCTTGGGGTCTCCTTGCCATTTGTGGGGTACCCCCAGCATCCTGGGGTCCCCTCAAACATTCCTGGGGTCCCCAGAACATCCGTGGGGCTCCCCCAACAGTCCTGGAGTCCCCTCAGGGTCTCCCAACTGTCACCAGGGTGTCCCCACTGCACCCCCATTCTCCATCTCCCTTCAGGTTCCTCCTTGGGGTCCCCACAGCATCTTGGGGTCTCCTCGCCATTCATAGGGTCCCCCCAGCATCTTGGGGTTCCCCCCCAACAGTCCTGGGGTCCTCAGAGCATCTGTGGGGTTCCCCCAACAGTCCTGGGGTCCCATGGGGTCCCTTCAGGGCCCCCCCCCCCTCCGCTGTCACCATCGTGTCCCCGCTGCACTCTCGTTCTCCATCTCCCGCCACCTTCATCCCTGGGGTCCCTGCAGCATCTTTGGGTTCCCGCCACCATCTCGGGGTCCCCCCTGCCACCCTGCCAGCGCCCCCCGACACCCACGCCTGTCCCTGCCCCCCCAGGTGGTGAAGGCCTACGACCACCAGGCGCAGGAGTGGGTGGCCATCAAGATCATCAAGAACAAGAAGGCGTTCCTCAACCAGGCGCAGATCGAGCTGCGCCTCCTCCAGCTGATGAACCAGCACCACACCGAGATGAAGTACTACATCGGTCAGTGGGGCAGGGGGAGGCGCTTGGGGGGCTC